AACGGTGCAACTTTGTCCCTGAAAAGCTTTTCCGCGCGGCTATAAACAACCGAGAAATGTTTTCACTTTTCTCATCGGCCGCCTGCCGCGAGTTTTCCTGCGACGAAAAGTGAAAATATCTCCGTTGTTCACGGTCGTACAACTTCCCGAGATGAAGTTGCGACGATGGTGCGAGAGCTATTTTTTCCCCGAGGCCCGCTTCTTCGCGAGATTTCAAGGCTAAAATGTACTTCCGTGGCTGGAATATCGAAACAAATAGAGAGAAGGATTCAACCGTGTATAGCAAGCGATTCCGGAAGGGACAGTGCGGGGCCGTTTTCACTTTTCGGGGTATTTGGACACCCTGTGCGACGGTTGTTTGCGCTCGGATGACAGAGATACCTCCCGGCTCCGCGAGGCGGTTTATTTAACCAAGGGCAAGCCGGAATCCGAAGCCGAATATTTGCAGGGAGCGACAGAGAGCTGTCGGACGACTTAACTTTCGCGCGATGCTGCAACGTAATAGCATCCGAAACATTCCGATGCTACTGCTGCTGCTACTGCTGCTGCTACTGGTGCAGCTACTGCGAGATTCCGGTTGCAGCGCGGCCCTCTCGTTCGCGATCGACTCGCGCAATATTGCTCGGTAACGGCGTTTATTACTCCGCCGCGGCAAAATGCGGGGAGAAATGGTAAACAGAGTTTTCCGGGCGCCGGCGGCCCGCGAAAAGCCATCGACTGTGGCAACAACGGAAAATCGGAGCAACGAGAACGACGTCTGTAAGCGCGAACCGCATGTTTCCGATACCTTTCCGCGACCGCTTTTTCCTCGAACTTTTCGCGAAAATATTTTCAAGCAGGGAAAGAGGACGCGCCGGTTTCTTGCAGCCACGAGCAATTAGACGGGGGACGGAGAAGCGGAGACCGAGGGTGACGTTAACGAGAAGACGACTACAGTGCGCGGGACGTGAAACATAATTGAACTCGTTTCGTTTGGATTTTTCAACGTTCACGGCTCCTTGTTCCGACGTTATGGAAATCGCGCAGATTCTCGGGGCAAATTGTTCCAACAGACTCCGCGAGTACATGTGAGAAAACTCGAAAAAATTCCATGCACGCGATTACGATGGCATGCGTGCTGCAATTTCTGAGCAAACATGCTCCAGAGATCCGGGGTCCTTTGAAACATTTCGTTGTCGAGATGTTCGAAGACAAAACCTAGCATAGGCTATAACTATTCGTCCGTGATGTGCGTCGAGTTCCTTGAATCTAACAGAATTGTTGCTGGCATTGCTTTTCTTTTTCAAATCTTGAATGACCTAGTAAGTCGTCCTCAACCTCTCTCTTCCATCAACTTCAACAGCGCTAAGATTTATTCGCACGTTTCAGCCTTTAAAATATTAGGTCGTTTCATAAGTTCGTGCCGCGAATATGTTTATACTTTTTGATACGTTTAATTCATTTCATAAAAGAAATTGTTGTCTTGAAGAATTAACTACCCACAGATATTTAAAAAAAAAATGGGAACGACAAACGGCACGAACTTATGAGACGACCTAATATAAGTCAAATTTCGTTTATTCAGATTCTGTAACAAAAATTCCTACCCTGGCGAACAACTACTGCACCGTTACTGATCTTTTCGGTGTCTCTATTGTTAACCCTTTGCACTCGAATGGCGACTCTGAGGCGATGCTGAAAAGTGCTACACTGTTTTCAAAAGAATCTTCACATTGAATTTATTTTGTCATTAAATTATTCGATAAATTGATAAAAGAGAAGATAAGAGAAGATAAAATAGAAGTGTTCTATAATCGTACACGTTCAATTTCACATGTATCAAATAAAAACAATCATAACAAGTGTAAATATTATACGTTGAAACAAATGTCTTCAATTTGGAGTTAAAATAGTCTCGAGTGCGAAGAGACTAAATGTGCAAATCGAATGAGAAATCTGTTGTAATCGCCGCACAAACACCTCTATTATGTACTCTAATGAGTTTTTCCCGCTTCTAGATAAATAAAATGAAAATGACGAAGGAACGTTGCTTTCTTCGATCATCGGCGAAACGGCCGTGCGTTCTGTATGACCGTAAAGCAGAAAGGTGTGCACGCGAGCCGGCGCGGCGTGGCGCGCACTTTCTAAGCGGTTTTTTCGATCGCGCCCACACAGCGAGAAACGAGAAGGCGGAATCGTGCCACCGATGCTGCCCGCTTGGATTTCCGCGTCCTCGTCCAAAGCGAATCGTAAGCTGCGAGGCGAACAAACGGGCTGTTTTCTGCCAGAGCAAGAGGCAATTGTTTCCGGGAGAGGAGCGAGACAATGGGAACGAGGAACGCACCCGTGAGCATGCCTCGCTGTGTTGCGGAATACATAATAAAGAAACCCTTTCGGCGCGAACCCGCCGAACCTTTCCTATCCTGCATCCACAAAATCGCGTTTCGAAGCAACTGAAAAAGCGTCTCCACTATCGGCAAGATTATCGACACTTTTATTGTCTTCTCATTCGCGCGAGAGGATATAATCGTAGTTTCTTCGATTTTCGCGATTCTTACGTCGTTTAGGGAAACCATATTGAAAAGAACTTTCGACGAGAGAAACAGGTCCCGTTTCGAGTGACGGATTTCATCACAAGTAAAATGAAAAATGTCAGGAATTCCTTTTTCTCCGGCCGATTTCGCCAGTCGGCTTCCAATTGAGTTCGTCACACGCACGACATAACCGAGCGAATACCACTTTTCGAACCTTTCCTATCCTGCATCCACAAAATCGCGTTTCGAAGCAACTGAAAAAGCGTCTCCACTATCGGCAAGATTATCGACACTTTTATTGTCTTCTCATTCGCGCGAGAGGATATAATCGTAGTTTCTTCGATTTTCGCGATTCTTACGTCGTTTAGGGGAACCATATTGAAAAGAACTTTCGACGAGAGAAACGAGGACCGTTTCGAGTGACGGATTTCATCACAAGCAAAATGAAAAATGTCAGGAATTCCTTTTTCTCCGGACGATTTCGCCAGTCGGCTTCCAATTGAGTTCGTCATACGCGCGACATAACCGAGCGAATACCATTTTCCGAGCGAGTTCCCGGCATCGGTGGAATTTTTAGGGATCAATCGGCACGGCAAACGTATACCGCTGCGATAGGCGTGCGCATTCTCTGTGGAAATGTTTACGAATCCTGGTATGCCGAACGCGACCGTAAAGGCGACGACGGCACTTCTTGCCGAATTGTTGCCGTTCCGCCGAAACTATTGGTAAACCGGGCTCCATTCATCGCGTTTCACGGTCCCGCGGCCACGGAACGGTAACATCGTTTAGGTATCTCGTTGTCGGTAAAAACTGCTCCGAGAATCGCTGACTTCTTTCTCGGAGCCGGGCACGATCAAGGGAAAAACCTTCGGCCGAGATATAAATCACGGGTTTTCGTTTCAATGACGGCAAGGAGTCGCCAAAATGGGCGTTCTCTCGAATAATTAGCGATGAGTTATGGCGCCGCAGAACCGGTCGAATCGGTCGGAAAAAATGTGAAAAATCGCTAGGCTTTTTTTACCCGGGAACTTCGTTGAATCGACGGGAGAAAAAACAAAGTAATTGAAGGGGAGGAACGAAGTCGCGGAAGGTGGAGAATTACATATAAAATTCACGGAGACACTCGCGACCGCGAAGCTGCTGTCCGTTTTTTTTTCTCGAAATAGCGTTCCTCGAAGGACAGGTATGTTGCGTTCTTTTAATCGTGTGTTTTCGAGGAACTTCTTCGATCGCTGTCGCGTTTCAAACGTAACATTCGGAACACGCGGAACTATGTAGGTCTACGACAAACGAATTTCCCTCGAACAAATTTCCGCGAAGCATTTCCTACGTCCGTTGACAAAGTCACTTCGGGAGCCGTGCAGGTCGAAACGCGAGAAAACACACGGGTCATGAGAAAAGCTCGTACAGCTAGACCCGAACAAAGGCGACACAAATTCGTTTTCTGCTAGCCTTCGAACGTACGACCGTCACGAAATACTTTCGGGCAGTGTGCAAACGATCAAGGTCCTGCGTTAAAAGCGCAGCTCGAATATAAAAGGATCGAAGTTGATCTGGACGTTTCGAAGTTCGATTTAGCTCATTCGAGGCTAATGACACACCTGGTGTGTAATGTCCAGGTGAAAAGGCCAGTGACACATCGTATGTAAAAATTAGACCGTGGATTTTACACAGTTGTAAAAATCGTGGCAAAAATGTGCGAATAAATAATGCAGAACCGTGAAAAATAATCAGCATAATTTAAATTTTATTATAAAAAGAAACGTATTCCTATTTGACACTAAATCTGCCGAGCCGTTCGAAATAATCGACTTTGCATTTTTTTTGCGTTAACCCTTTGCTGTTAACTCGAGTGGCGACTCCGAGGCGCCATTAAAAATTGTTATGTCACGATTCGAAATAATGTTATTAATCAAATTTGTTTATATTTGAAGAAATGTTGAAAGCGCAACTGTTGCACGAGTCACGAAATTCAATTTCATCTGTTCAAAATGCACTATATTATATGTATAAAATGGAAATACCGTGGGTCAGAAGAACTATTTTCAATTTTACGTTAATTTGGCTACGAGAGTGCAAAGGGTTAAAATTGTTAAAGCTGAAACCATGAAGATTCTTTCAAAGAAAATGATTTAATTTTTTAATTGACCGTGAAAGGTCTAAACGAATACAGTCTTTTCGTCGTTACAAAGCAATACATGTCATATCTTTTTAGAACTCGGTAGGTTTAATGTTAAATCCTATTTGGCAGAATCGTTCTAGAAAACGAATGCAGAAAAATCCGCAGTCTGGTAACGATAACAAAGAAGAAAGGAATATCGGCTACCGGCGACAGACTTCCGAGAAGTCGTCAGCTCGAGTCAGCGAGGGAAATGAAAGAAGTGTTTTGATCGTCGAGTGGGAAGACTTAGGGAAATGAGAACCAGGGATAGACAGGAGTTTGGCTGTTCGAAGAGGGCAAAGATGATCGAACGAGAAGGTACGTACTTGGCTTTGACGGGCTCCATTCCGGTCCAGAACAATTCGCCCGGTGGGAAGGTGGGTTCCGTTGAGTGCGGCATTCACGTGGCTCCGTTTCGCAGCCGGTCGTAACGAACACCGTCACCCGGAAGACATCGGCCAGGGCCGCCTTCACCAGGCCAGACACATCCTCTATCTCGCCGACCCGGCGCGGCACAGCGGCCACTGCACTTTGGCTTTACTTTATTCCTTCCGCAGACGCAGACGTCGACCCGGTTAATTCTCGGCTCGGCCGAGAGACAAGAGAGAGCCTCGGGTCTTCTCCGACTTGTAATCCGGCCGAGGGAACAGACGAGGTCTTCCCGCGCGAACCGATCCTAGAGAACCACTTTATCACCGGCACGCTGGGGCACGCTACACCTCGCCAGGGATGCGTACCCTTCTCCACCTATTCACCGACCAACGAGAACCCGGCACGCCAATCACCGATCCTCGGGGGACTCTTTTGTTTCTCCCCGATGAAAAGAGAACCTCGAACCTTTCACCGATGGAATCGCCGCAGAACTGTTCCTCCGTTCGCCGATCTATCGATAAACCAGCTCGAATCGGGGGATGATTCACTCCGTATCCACGGCTCAAGGACATCTACTAATTCGCTATTCCTTATAGGTATCTCTAGGCTTCTTTCACCCACGCGGTTCGTAGCCACTGTCAGGACAGTATCGGAGCCGAAGGATTCTCTCGATTTCTTGTTCCTTCTCCCAGTAACTAAGTCCTCGCAAACTCTTCTGGCGGGAGGGAAATCACTGTCAAGACAAAAACTTTCTTCGCGGTCGAACAAGGATTCTCGTCGCTCCTGATGGAACGCTTTTGCTCCGAACTTTCAAGGATTCTTGTAGCTCCCAGACTCTTCTGTCAGAAGAAAGACAGACCACTGCCAAGGCACAACCGTATCCTCCTATTTGTCGGTGAACCTCTCGTCGATCCTGGCGGAGTCGCTTCTTCCAATCTCCTGTTCCCTGGTGGAATAGAAAACACTTTGTCAAGACAAAGCTGTCCAAGGATTTGCGACCACCGACGAGATCAGTTTCCAAGCGGTTCGTGGGTGGTTCCGCGGCAATCATCCGCAGCTGGGACAACAGAACACTGTCGCGCACGTGAACTCGTATGCGATCCCCCTTATATCCCTATCCTGCGTCGCGACGGACAAACGACGCGCGACAAGCGTGTACGGCGGCAGCTCGCTCGCGTGAAACGATCGACGAGCGTTCTCGCCGATCGACTGGCGAGGCGAGAGCGGTTCTCTGTTTGCGACTCGGCCGAGGTCGAAGGAATCGAGGGAACAAAGAGAGCGCCGCGTCGCGACGTCCGACCGCGTGTACCGTCGTCGCCGCCGTCGTTGTCGTGGTCGTGATCGTGGACGTGGTCGTGGTCGGAGCAGAGGAGAGACCGTACGAAAGTTTATTAGCAGTGCACGTCGGATAGGGACGGGAGGAAGTCGTGCGAGCGTGTGTTGTCGTCGAATGTCGCACTGCAGACCGACACCACGACGATATACACACCCGGTCTGCTTCCCTGTGTCGCTTCTTCTCGCTTTCTCTCGCACGGTCAAACACACATACACACACGTACACGCACATACTCTCTCTTTCTCTCTTTCTCTCCCTTCCCGTCACTCCTTTGCTCTCTTTCTCTCTCTCTCTCTCTCTCTCTCTCGTCTCGTTCTTTCTCGCGCGAATCGGCTCTCTCCCACTTGGCCGCGTACCGCCGGCTGTCTCGATGCAGACGTCCACCACGACACGACGGCCAACGATCGGGCTAGAAATGCCAGAAGGCGCCGCCGATGTTCAACCGTTCGACCGAACGTCGCGTTGGCCGCCAACTATACCTCCCATACACGAGCCTATCTCGTCGAGCGGGCCGGCTGTCCCGGCGCAGATGTCTCACCACCGCGTCCAAATGCCGAAGAACAGCGAATTCAACCGCTCCCGGTATTCAACGAGTACCGAAAAGGCTCGGTGGCTCTTATTCGCTGGACAAGAATTACTTCGTTCATCGAAAACAGGATTATCTCGGCGGGACTGTACCGACGCAAATGTTCGTCGAAACACCGTGGTGCAACGTGCTACAGACCCTAGAATCGATTCTTCCTCGGAATGACTTGCTACCGACTGAATACGACCGAAGACTGAAGAAAGTGTCCGCGGAGACTCGAAAGTTCGAGGGAGCCGAGACTCCTTGAGGAAACGGAGACATCCGGTTGCTTCTAAACTATTCAAGAACTCTAGAAACTGTCGACGCTCGCAAGTTCGAAAGAACTTTACATCGGCCCGAAGATCCCCGCAAACTCTCCGTTCGTGTTCATCAAGTATAACTTAACATCGGTGTAAAAAGAGGGAAGAGGAGCCTGCCGAAACGGGGATCAAGGACTTCGGGGAAACGTTCGTCGTTGTTCACAAAAGCGAGACGGAACATTGGCGAAGCAAGTGGAGGACATTGGACAAAGAAGGAGAGTCTAGGGACAATCAATCGTTCCTAAGCTATCTGCAAACTCCAAAAAACGCAGGTGTTTTCCGAGATCGAATACGCCGGAGGCACTAATAAATGTCCCTTTCATCGAAGTAAGAAGAACCCAAGAACGATCAGAGTCGATTCATCGTTCTAATACCTACATTTCTCGTTCAAATCTGAAGAAACAATTTATCCTAATTTACGTACTACAAAGAAGCATTGCATCGGCTAGACTGATCCTCTAACGCTAAGACGTTAGAGGATAATCAGGAACAATTGCCCTGGGTATTTTCAACGAAGCCTACGGATTTCGAAAAACTATCACAAAGTACTCGTCTCCAAAGGAGCCTTTGGTCAAAGAAGAACTCCATGCCCGTGTCTACAGCGTTAAAGGACTAACGAGAACTTGCTAAGTCTACAGGCCAGCGTGGGGACTGATACCGAAGTTGGTAAAGTTCATCGGTGAAACAAGAACGCTATAGCCGTGTCTAGCGTGTCGGAGGATTACCAAGAAGTTGGCGAGTTCACGATCGTTTAGAGCTGCTCGATGGCCGTTCCCCGAGGAAGGACTCCGTGCGTGGATTACAGCAGGTGTCGAGATTCGGATGTCCAGCGGGAGGACTCGGATCGCGGCACCGGAGACATTTGGCGGCCGTGCGTATATCGGCGTTCACGCGAACGTAAAGCCGCCGAGTTTGCGGAGAAGGAAATGCAGCCAGTATATGCTCGTCCCGAGGCGAGAGCCGACTGCCCTCCAGCACCTGGAACGGCACACGGTAGAACCGGGTACAATGCCTCCTGTATCGAGTGTCCTTCTTTAAACACCGGCCTCCATCAGCGTGCTCCTGCTCTATCCCCTTCAATCTAGCCGTCCCTCTCGCTCTCGCTTTTACGAGGACATTCCACGCTCTCCGCTCTCCTATTAAACAGCCAGGTAGAGGACAGCGGTTCTCAACCGGCCAGGTGTGCGCCGCGATGTCCCTCTCTTTCTCACCTGGATCGTCGCTCTCTCTTTCTCTCTCTCTCTCTCTCTCTCTCTCTCTCTCTCTCGTTTGCTCCCTCGCCTCTCGCGCTCCTCTCACCCTTTCTCTCTCTCTCTCTTTCTTTCAGGCTCCCTTCCTACTACAGCAACGTTTCCCGCCGAGGGACACGCTCTTTGGTCATCGAGCCAGCACACGCTCCTATACCGTGATACACGTCCGGTAGCGTGGCGAAGGCGTTATCGATCCTGCGACTCGTGGCCGCCTTTGTGTTTCACGTTTACAACCGGGAACACGACCGCCGTTCGCTTTTCTTGATTGATCGGACCATCGCCGAGCCGAGCCGAGCCGAGTCGAGTCGCCGAGTAAATACCCTCGCGATCTTCGAATCGGGGACACCCGGTAGATCAGCTCCTGTCGCGCCCTGCCACCCCTGATCCCGTTCCTCCGAAATTCCCTTTTCGTCCATCGCGAAAATCATCCGCGCTGCTTTATGCTCCTGGGTGTGGATGGTAATTCTAATTTGTAAATATCGTGCTGCCTCTCTCGAGACAGTTCGACGTGATTTTAGTCCTTTCGAACGTAGTCGAATACTCCCTCAGAACTTCTCCTCTTCAAAGTGTTAGTTACTAGTTACTCGGGCCGAGATGCAATATTATAGTGTAAGCAAAATGATTCCGTATTTAATACTTTGGAGAGCACGGTCGAACAGTGCCTCGGAAATCGTCCTCCTAAAAACGGCTAATTACAGTAATGTCTCCCTAACTGACGCTCAGATTGTCCACAAAAATGGACGATTTGGGAAGAGAAGATGCGATTGTTCAAGCCTTTTGACTCGTTTTTATATTAGGTCTACCGGAAAGTTCTGTCTGATAATGTCATTGCAAATTTCGATAGGTATGCACATGTTTATTTCAGACGTATATTTTTGAAGAATGTTGCACACACATTGCCATCACGCTGGCAAGAGGTCATAAGTAACGATGGAAATTATATTGTACAATAAATATTACTAAATTTATGAAAAATCTATTATTTCCTTTCATTTCTTAAACGGACAGAACTTTCCGGTAGACCTAATAGTTACCGATTGCCAATAACTATAAAAACGAGCCAAAAGGCTCGAATAATTGTATCTTCTCTTTCCGAATTATCCATTTTTGTGGACAATCTGAGCGTCAATTAGAGAGACATTACTGTATTGGTAAAGCACACTCGGATCAACATGCAATATTATGATATAAGAGTTTTATGTCGCAACGGAAGGGCCAACAAAATGGCATACTTTCGAGCCCCGAGAAGCCTCAGAGTTCCAGTTGGAATCGCGAATATCCATTTTGGTTTACAGCGAAGCGAATGAAAAAATCATGTCAAGTTTATTTTATTACTCTTCCCGAATTGTCCATTTTTATGGACAATCTGAGCGTTAATTAGAGAAACATTATTGTATTGGTAAAGCACATTCGGATCAGCATGCAATGTTATAATATAAGAGTTTTATGTCGCAACGGAAGGGCCAACAAAATGGCATACTTTCGAGCCCCGAGAAGCCTCAGAGTTCCAGTTGGAATCGCGAATATCCATTTTGGTTTACAGCGAAGCGAATGAAAAAATCATGTCAAGTTTATTTTATTACTCTTCCCGAATTGTCCATTTTTATGGACAATCTGAGCGTTAATTAGAGAAACATTATTGTATTGGTAAAGCACATTCGGATCAGCATGCAATGTTATAATATAAGAGTTTTATGTCGCAACGGAAGGGCCAACAAAATGGCATACTTTCGAGCCCCGAGAAGCCTCAGAGTTCCAGTTGGAATCGCGAATATCCATTTCGGTTTACAAGCGAATGAAAAAATCATGTCACATTAGCCGTGAAAAGGTTTAATACGTTCGATCGACAAAGTATTGAAATCGGGGCAGACATCGTGCGAAGTGGCCCTTTGAAGGGCGGAACGAGGAACATTCGTTTTGGCACGTAAAATCGCGAGTCTTCAGCAGCACGGAAGAGTAAAAAGGTGCCCGGTTCGGCGAGGCGAGAGCGAGCAGCGCGCTCGCCAGAGGGAAGCAAATATTTTCATGTCGTAATCGGAGAGTGTTAATTACGAGTCAAAGCCTGGCCGGGGCAGCAAGGTCCCCCGAGTTGCGAGGCAACTTCTCGGAACGAAATTTGCTTTTTCCTGGGAAAATGCGGAGCATCGTCTCTTTTAGAACGCTTGCCGCGCGAGGCGGAAAGATGAATTTCGTTTCAGCGCGTCGTCGCACTTAGCTACATGTTCGCGTCGACTAGATTAGGTTGTGAAAGGAGGCGAACGAGCGAGAATGTATCGTAGGGTGAGCTCTTTATATGCTCAAAAGAACATTCTTCACCGAAATTGAAGCTCGGAGAGCGAGTCCGCCAACGAGGAGCGCGCCTTGTCCTTTAGGAGGAGAATTAGACGAACTTGTGTAACACTCTTTCCACTGTTCCCGCTTGGAAGTTTCAGGGCCGGTGGTAGTTGCACGGTGCCAATAGCGAGTTGCATTTTT